TTTTCTGCCCTACAGACATGGGTGAATTGAAGTTATCTCCTCACCATCATGTTTGCTGATCAGTAACGCCACCCTCACTCCTTTTGTGATGTTAGGCTCTCTTATGTTTGTGGTAAGTATGAATATTGCTTTGATCAAAGCACATAGTTGGAATACACAGTCTCTACTAGTTCGATGTTACAAGCAAATCAGATGGTTAAAGCATGTGTATTATGATCTAGACATCCATTTAGTATATCACACTGCTATGAAGATAACTAATGGTGAAAGTAAAAAAAGTGGGTTAAATTATATGTGGCCTAAAGATACTAAGGACCAATACCAAATCAGAGGATATGAATGAGTATAAAATTGCAAAATTTTCTGTGTAAGAAAAATAAAACACTGACCAAGTCATAAGATTAGTGAGTTGTCTGTCTAATCGCAATAGGAAAAAAGGACTTGACACTTATGAAGAATAATTTATATTTAACTATTAGAGAGGTTTTGGAACCGAAAGTGAGGGTTGGGAGGTTAAGGCCATGATTAAAAATAATGAATAATAGGAGAGGATAAACCATATGTTCTGTAATTTAGTTATATTCATGTTAATAACAATGGGGCTCGTTATATTCTTGTTCCGTCTAGATATCAGCTAGTCCATAATAAAGCGTTTCATTAGTGGGCGGGAGTTCAAGTAGTAGTTGAAGCTCTTTAGAGTCTAGTAACATGGTTATTAGCCTTTCGAATTTGGTAAAAGTGTCACAGTTACGGACAGATATTGGCAACCTGTTCCACAGTAAACTAAACCGCACTGTAAAAAACTTACAACGCATTTGTTTTTGGTGTTTACGGTCAGTAGTGTAATTCCGTTGTTTCTCAGTCTATATGCTGGATCATGGATCAAAGTTGGGCAGGAGGTTAGAAATGAGAGTCCATATACCGTTTTTTAGAGAAATATTAAATCGTTCCCTAGCCTACGGTGCCGTAATGAGGGTTGCTTACATCTATCTGTGTAATCGAGATTGAAGTTACTTCCTAGCAGTTCGTATGTGAAGCATCTTTGAACGTCTTCCACTCTTATCATGTCTGTGGTTTTCATATTAGGGAAGATAAGAAAGAAGTATTCAAGAGAAGGTCGTACACATATTTTGTAGAGAATAAGCTTAGCCTCTGCCGTGAAGAAATTTCTCATCATGAAACCAATCAGCCGTCTACATTTAGAAATAATAGAGGAGGCATGTTCTTCAAAGTTCAGGCTTCTTGTGTAACTAATTCTTAGATCGTGTAGTGAATTGAGTGTCCGGATTCTACTTTTATTCAAGTAAAGTTGCAGTTCATGGAGATGCTCTCGCACTTCTTGAGGTTGAATGGTAATTGCAATTTTTCACCCCAGATAGTCAAGTTTTTGATGTCCTTTTGGATCATGGATACACTTTCACTTAGAGTCACAGGCTCTTAGCTGTATACTATTTTGAGATAATCAGCATATAAGTATGGTTTCCCAAATCTTATGATGTTATATATATCGTTTATAAGCATGAGAAACAAGAGTGGAACTAATACGTTTCCCTGGATGACACCACTGTTAATTGGTCCAAGTGTTCAGAGACAGTTATAGAAACTTAGTATCTGTTTACGTCCCGTTAAGAACGAAGCAAACCGTGAGTATAGTGGGTTGTTTATTCTGAAGGACTTTAGTTTGACGAGAAGCCTTTAGTGTGGGACCTTATCAAAGGCTTTCTTAAAGTCTAAGAAAAGGACTGATACAAGGAGTCCGTTGTCTCTTTTCTGAGTAATATTATTCAGGTAGTCTACTAGGCATGTATCGCATGATCTGGACCTAGGAAATCCATGCTGAAATGTCGAGGCGAGATTATTTATAAGTAAAATATGTGACATCTGTGGGGTGTCTCTTCGAATATTGACTTAGCGGTGCTCTTCAATGATTGAGGATCAAACATCGAACCACTTGGCAGTTCCCCATTACGCTTTGGATATCACATTGACATGTCCTTCTTTGATAAATTGGTGGAGCCGACATCCCTACTGAAATAAGGAGTAGACAGATTTGACAGCTAAGGTTGATTGGCTAAGAATTGGATGAAAACCTCTCAGTAATTGCAAGTATTTATTTACTTTGATATTTTGCTCAGGCGTTACCTTTTTCATTACTTTACATTAAATGTTAAAAATTTTGCGTTTGAGAAAGCCAAACTCGCGCTCCAACTGTGATGTTCCATAACCTGAATAAAAATCTATTGAACCACCAATCTTGTTTCTTATACAGATAAAACGAAGGATATCTATCGACACGAAAACCTCACCAAATATGAAAGTCACAAAGAGGTCATACACTGTCAATACTAGGGTAAGCTTTTAACAGTGTTCTGTTTGACCGAATAAAAGATTCAGTAGACACCCAACTTCGAGATCAACAGGCTGGATTCAGAAGGATTTGGTTGTGCACCGGCCAAGTCGCGACACTGGAGACTATTTCTGAGCAGACATCTGAATGAATTTCATTACCATGTATAAATATCTTTGACTGTGAGATAGTTTGACAGAGTTTGTAAGAAACTCTTACCTACCATTCTTGGACAATATGGTGTACCTGAGATTTTCAACATCGTACGGAGTTCATACGACGGACTACACTGTAAAGTCATGTATGGACGACAGCTGACAGACACTTTCCAAGTGTGGACTGGTATCAGACAAGGCCACCGACTCTCCCACTTTCTCTTTCTTCTAGTGGCTGATTGAATTATGAAGGCCTCCAAATCACAGGAGAAGCACGGTATACAGTGAGCAGCCTGCATGCATTTAGACGATATGGACGTCTATCCCATACACACTAGATAGTGAAGATGAAGATAAACCATTTTTCTTTATCACTGCATTCTCCCACTGGGAGCCTCTGATCACATTTCACTCTAACAACAAAAGCTAGCATGGATTTGGGGACATTTTAAATATACCCGTATCACTCTGAAACTTCCTCTACATTTCATTCAAAATATCTAAAACAAATATACAAATGAATAAATAGATAAGTTTTGTTGTTTTTGAATACTTACAAATTGAATTATGGGTTGTGTAAGTTTCGAATTAGAAAAATGATTATTATAGCCACGACATCTATGCGACAAACTACCTAAACGGGCGACTTTAGCAATAAATTGTGATACACGATCGTCATGCTGACTATTTGTATAATGTAAAGAAACAGTAACGGATAAATTACTGTTGTTACTGTTGTTACCATTACGTGCATCGAATGTATTTGATGAACTTTTGTGTGTAGTCTGTCCGAAAGTTGATGTCTGTAAAGGTTGAAAAGAAGAGTTTGCAAATTTTTATGATTTAGTGTTAAATGTCACCTGATGTCAGTCAGCTGTATGGAATCCTGTCACCTCTTAATAGTTGCATCGTTACTTTTGGCATACATTTTGCGAGAGAGTAAGGCATATATCACTTAATAGGCCTTTGCTAAGTTACTCTTTTAACTTGCAGTGTGATTGAATGCCTTCGATGTTCTCTTGTTACTTCTCGCACAACTCAGGACACTTCTGAAGCTTTCAACCCGGTCAACGCGGAGCTGCTTAATGATATCTATGTTTCATAATAATCTTTCTTGACGTTTCACAAAATTACCATGAAAAAATGATCGTCTACTAGCTAAACGGACTAATTGCTCAAACATCTTTAGACAGTACAATTTTCTTCTGGGAGCTACCGCCAGATCATTACTAAAATGCATTCCTCACTAGCTTTTATCGGTCCCCTTCTGACTTTATCATAATACACGATCCATCGTAACGGTATCACAGGACCATCAAGTAACCAACTAATGGACGTTCTGAAAATATTTATTCATCGGTACATTAGTACCCATAGATACATAGTAAGAAGTTACTGTCTATAGAATTTAGCTGTGTGCAACAACTTATACGGAATCTACAAATCACTTTGTCCGAAATTGAGTTTTAAAATCAAGACAGATTATATACTACTATAATAGATTATGCACTATAAGATCTTTTCAGTTACGTGAATGCCCATAACTTGATAAGGTGAGTGCCGTACATGTGATCATCAAGACGAGAATTGGTTTAGGTTAAGAGGAATATTACTGTTAACCCATTTCTGTGATAACGGTATGAACGTTCGTCAATACTTACTTTCAGTTCGTATGAGATTTGTTCGACTGCTCATACTGATTATTTGCACAAATGTCTGTTGTTTAACCTTTAATCTAAATTATAAATTTCCATAGTACTCACTAAGGAGCCCAGTGATGAGAAACTTTGTTGAAACCATTTTCGTGAACTTAATTTTTTATATATCCCGTTTCATGAATGTATGATTCAAAACGTTATACTTTTTTAATGTCTGAAAATTAATAGATATATTTTTCACAGATTGTATAGAGTGGTAAAGTCACTGCTTCTGTCCGGAAAAATTCGCAAATTATGTTAGTAGTAATCGTTCGTCTAATTTGATGTGAAGAAGACCTTATATCCTGAAGGTCGTAAAGCGGGGCAATTCGAACATCTGCAGAATGTTGTGGATTTCAGCCTAACTATACTATTTCAATTGAAAACCATACTATGTTAGCTGTCAGCCTCCTCATCAGATTTCCAAATTCAGGAAATTGTTATTCTCTGAAGTTCACTAAAGATATCACCGTTTACGATCTCTGTCATGAAGTTCAATCAAAAATTAGAGAGGCAGCTTGTCTAAATCGTATGTTTATGTCACTGTCCGTAACTTCCATTTAGCATCAGAGTATGGCATTTTTGTGCCAGATCCAGACCCAAAGCACTCGTTTTGGTTGGATAATTCAAGAATGCTTTCATATTACCATTTCTGTGATAATGTAACATGCGCTTCCTTATTTTTATTCGTTTCAGTTTGAGGTTCAATATCGTTCCAAGCTTCGTCTTCTTGTTATACAGACGATGGATGAGACAAGGAAAACACTACAGGTGGACGATAGCAAGACTATTTCTGAACTTATGTTTACGATTTGTGCTAAAATAGGTGCGTTACACTTTACTGTATGTTACCGTACTTCGGGTTATTTTTTACCATTAAAATCTGTATATTCCCTCACTGAAATGGATGTAAATTGCACGTTTTAGCATGGCAGTTGTAACTAATTTTCAGTCGCATCAATTTGTTACCCACTTTTACATCGACATCGTGCTTGGTTAGCAAAATATTATTTTTCTTGTCTCATAAAGGACTCACCAAGAAGTTTCGAAATGGAAGTTTTTTTGATGTGTGCAAAGCCTCTTTAGATCAACTCACAATTAAACGTTAACTACAGTAATTCACACACTGTTCTTTGCTAAACCTCATATGCAGTTATTTCGTCAATTATATCAGTTGTATTGTAATTTAATCCATCGATTATTTTTGTAGTAATTTGCCGATCAAACCAACTTGCGTCTATTTAGGTTTACTTAATTTCGTTTTTTAAATTAGTCACCGTTTTCATAGCAAACTACATCGAATTTCAGTCGTAAACTGTAACGGCGTGTCACCGAAAAGTAACATCTGTCCTTTATTTATGTAGATCGATGTCTCTTTCTCATGCTTTTCAGTCGCTAGATGCTCGACAGTAGTAGAAAAATTCCAGCAGTCTTAAGAACCATCTATGATGTTCCGAGTAATCTCACTTAATAATCGTGTTATCTCAAGTATTCTCGTTTCAGTTGTCGAGTATTTTCAAACATTAATCTCTGTATGTAAGGTTTATAGCTGTCTATACAGTTTTCGAGAAGCTGATATTAGCTTTTTTCTTAGAGGACATTTCGTTTCCTTTACCAGTGTATTGGTGCATCGAGTTTCTCGTTCTTGACTTCTTACTCAAGTTTATTTACTTTATCATTTATTTTTTAAATACTAAAATTATTCTGAACTTTTTAAAATACGAAACACAACCTCATTATCAGCTAAACTGATTTATTGTCATCAACTGGGCACAACTAAAATCACCAATCTCATAACAGTTTACGTTACGTAAGGTAACATATGTTTACGGAAGACTACGGTTTCTAACCGGTTCATCAAGTTGTGGGTATTGCTTTGAAAGCTTGGTTTGAACAATAGTATTGCCCTTTCGTAGATATTGAAAACACGCGTTCAGTAAATACATAAAAAATAACATGCCGTCAAGTAATTTTTTATTAGTATTAGGACTTGAAGTCCTTAATAACTAAGGATTATGAAATCCTGTGAGGTAACCGGAAGGTTACTCTTCCATTCCTTATTTTCAATTATTTTAGGGCCAATATAAACCTCAGCTTATCCACCACTTAGTACTGGAGTCTCATTTGTCTGTTATAAATCGGCGATGTAAATTGACTTACGGGATCTACATTCAAATGGTAAGAGTAACCATGGCATTGAAGGCCAGTTTCAAGTTCTAGTTAGTAAAAATGTCGGACGTTACAAGTGCAGAATTCATCTGAATTAGACTTATAATACATATCACATTGCTCTTCCCCTGTACTTACTAGACAGTCATCGTTTACAACCACTACCTTTAAAGTAATTTTACAATAAAACGATACCAATCTACTGGATTGCCTTGCTACTTAAAGTAAGATATTTTCTGTAATAAAACCTGTAAAACAGCTGAAAATATGTTGTGCTGCAAAAATGTCTACCTGTTTGGTTTTATATTATTACTTTTTGCTATAAGTAGGGAATGTGATTAGCCTTTATTTTTTACTAGTATAAATTGAACTGTGGACCATAGGTACGTATGTCGAGGATGGACTTTGTAGTTTCAAATAAATTGAACATTGGGTAGAGATATAATGATAATTTTTTTTATGTCCTAATGAGTAGAAAAACTTTTTGATGCTTCGTGACTTGACCAAGAATAACTTGACGTTGATATATTCAGACCTATTATTCCTGATTGTGCTAAAATGTTCTGCATTGTTTTCTTGCCAATATTTAAACTTGTGTTGACTTAATCCGGTTATTTATTTACTCTGGAGAAATTGTGCATCATAGGTTTAAAGACTAGACTTTCAGTTAGTGGGTTTCAATTGGAATTTCCTCCATGAGAGAAATGTGGTTTGTCTTTTATCACAAAATTCTGTAATTTGTTAGTGAGCTTCATAAATGCTTGTTTCACTATAACCTTGTCAGATTAGTGTTCCAAGTTACGTAGCCATACGTCTTTCTTAACCTTCAATTCATCTAACCGAACTTAACTGAAATAATGTTTCTAACTACTCAAAATAGATAGCATTTTTATGAGGAATATAACTCGTTTTCTTTTTGTTTCATTCGCTTGTCGTTTTTAGGTATCACTAACTATGAAGAGTACTCATTAATAAGACCATCCGATGATGATGAAAAGATGCGCACGCTAACACTGAGGAAAGGTAGAGGCAGCATCAGAAACTTGGAGAAATTAGAGAAGATGAAACAAAAATTACATACAGACGATGAGTGTAAGTTGTATTTCTTGCAGTCTCAGCTATAATGGCGTTAAACAACGTCATCATTATATCTCAAATTTATTTCTTCCTGTCATCAATCACATTGCTAATTTAAGTATTCCCGATGATTATTTTGATTCACCCGTAAATTATACAATGAAATCTTCATTCTACTTAATTGTTTGCGTAAATGTAGTTCGCATTTTGTGAGCGATAAAATAGTAACTGGAATACCTGGTTCCTAACAATAAAAAGTTAAAATTGACCCGATATCAATTGTGTAATTGTAGATTAAGTTAACTGCTTTGTATTTCATATCTATAGCTGGAATTCGTTTTTAATTTTTTATCTTAGTTAACTTCACTTGGTACTTTAAAACAGTGGGTTTCTCACTTTATCTAGATCGTATGAATCCGTTACTAGATGTTCGAATTATCTGTGCATGGTTCTAGAAGTTGTTAGTTAGTGCTGTTTTCAGCTACTTATTTCATGTAATAAGCTGTTGAACAAAACATCTGCATATCAGTTTTGCCTTCAGATTACTTAAATTTTATGAAGGGGATGCTTTATGTATTTATTTCTCAACTCTATATTTTCTCGAATCATATCTTCTGCACCTAATCTCTTCTACTACGGTTGCTACTGTTAGCTACTTACGTCACTCTGGCATCCGTCTGTGATAAAGTGGTTTGGCAGCTTAAACGGATGAACATATGGGCTAGGATCTACTTTTCATATAACTGACTGACACAAATGTTCACTTGAAACGATTTTCAAAAACCTAAAACATGCTTCTGTTTTTAGTTAATTGGTTAGCACCTGGCAAAACGCTTCGTCAACATGGAGTTGATGAGTCGGAAATTCTGCTTCTCCGAAGGAAGTATTTCTACTCCGACCAGAATATAGATACTCGGGATCCTGTTCAACTAAACCTTCTTTATGTTCAAGTGAGTTTACGATAAGCCTTTGCGTTAACTATTTAAGCTTCGTCACAATTTTTGATTACTTTTAAGTGTGTAAAAATGTTTCGGATATTCGTTAGTACAGAATATTGCAAGTGTGCCTAACTCCCTCATAATGCTCATCAGGTCGAATACATGAACAATTACCATACCTTTTTGAACAGAACATTACTTCAGTTATTGATTTTTCTGCCCGTAGAATTGAGATAGTTATCATAAATTAATATAATTTCATTTTGTCTTCAGTTTGTTTCTGATGAGGACGAATTGTAAAATCTAGTTAATGACAAATAACACGCATCGACATGGAAGAATACTTCATTTCTCCCATTCCATGTCTGTTTAGTTCTACTCAGTTAAAAATATTTTTCAAAGATAAGTATAATGGAACGCCAAGTCTCTGAACACTCTCAGCTCTGGGTGCCCATGCCAAAAACCATAAAGTATAACTACTCTCACCTCAGCTTTGTAAACCTGACATTCTACGATTAGTTTAGCACAATAACGATGCCAAAGTTGTCGTAGATTGTCATAATCCTCTCTGGCTTTCACTATGCATAGATTTATTTCATATCTTGCGCCACTACAAACAAACAACACGCAACTATTTTCAACTGATTACTGCCAAGATTGATCGCAGGCACCGGCTTCTCAGTGTCGCAGAGGTACTTCACATTTAAAAGGTGTAAAATATATGCCTTACTCATGAACACTAACTGTTGACTGATTAAATGCAGTTTTGATAATTTGTGTTTCATCTCGCAGAAGAAACAATATCATCCTCATACTTGATATTGCTAAGTCGTTTTCCAGGTAACAAATTCGCGCTACCACTACTTATTTCCATCAGAGCCGCTTCCAAAATATCATTGATGTCAAAATCGAAGGGGAATGTAGAGGCGGGGCAACACTACCTAACGTCATTACTTTAAAAATTAGAAGGAGGTACTTGTATACAATCACTCTGAGGTTTTTTTGAAAAGCCTTAAAGATGTTACTGAACTTCTTAGACACAACCTTCAACAGACAATCTCTAAGTACAGCCCTGTTCAACTAGTCGAAGACGGCCCTAGTATTAAGAAACAGTTATTGTTGGTCTGCAGTATGATAGCTTCGAAACACTGTCTACCAGAGCTTTCCAAATAATCCAGTTAGTCCTTTGACCATATGTTCATTACCATCCTTAAAGAGAGCCAGGCGCAAGTAGTTCTGACCTAATGACTTGCGAATTCACAAAAACTGGAGTCCCATGTATGCTTCCGCTTCATTAGATGGGTCGGTAATCACCGGTCAAGCAAAGCGGAACAGTCTTACCAACGTTGTATGGGTGAAAGATCCTTCCAACTCCTCCTCAGAAAACTTTACTCATCTTCCAAGACCCCTTTGGATGCTGCTGATTAACCTCACAGGTCTTTTTATTGATATCAGGCTTCTTTCTGCCAATGGTTCCGATGAACTGAAAACGTTTCCGGTAGTGATCATATTCAGCTGCTGTTTCCAACTTATTAGCATGCTCCGATCACACGTTTTCTGTGTCCTTACGCAAACTTTGTGAAATTCCTTTTCATAAGGATCCACATTTGTTATCAAACTTGCAGTTTTACAAAGTAGACTAGGGTACTTCAATGAATCGTAAAGGGCTTACAGTGGCCAAGTGCTTATAAGCGGGGCGTTTCGTGAAGCCACACGAGACCTGACCTACCATTTTCATGATGTCATGAAAACATATTTAATGCTCAGCTATACTTTTCTGTGTGCCGGCAACTGGTTTGAAACTTAGCTTTATCTTATTTAGCTGCTACGAAAGCTTATATCATTTCATTTAAGATGATGAACTTGTGGGGCACCAAATTGTAAGGACTGTTCAAGACTTTGTCCACAATGCGACCTCGGAATTCTAAATCAATATATTATATTCCTCGGTACATCGATTACATCAAGTGACCTGATTTACTTAGTATTTTTTATGATAAATATTAGGGTTTTTCCTTAATCAATATCCTCGAGGGATCGAAGTTCCTCTGTTTATACCGATCTTTAAGATGTGTAAGCTAAGACTATCGGTCAGATTTATTTTTCTGTTCATGCGTGCAAAGCTATTAACATTTGTCATCTTGTCTATTTTCTGTATAAGTTTTATTTTATTGCTTCTCAGATATTCACAAATCAGCACAGTTTGCATTACAGATTGACATTGAATAGACAGTTGTTAAACACTAAAGATCGCACTAGTAGATAACTGTTTAGTCGTTTTCTTATGTCTTTAACACATTACAAACGAATTAGCCATGGAAGTTATTCTGAAAATTATTAGTATAATTTATTCCTATTTCATTTGCAGCTTAAGGAAGCTATATTGAATGGTACACACCCAATATCACAAGATCAAGCTATCAATTTAGCTGCTTTACAATGTCAAGTTGAGTATGGCCCAATGGTACCAGAGAAAATTAAACGAAATCCTATAGAGTAAGATAATTATAATTTGTTATTATTGTTGTTATTATTGTTACTTTAAGTTTACTTCTCTAAGTAAATTCGATTAAAATAATATTTAGATTCGGGAATTAATTAACCGTTAAATTGTTTATATTTGTGTCAAGTATTTGTCAAATTTTTATTGTTTTTTTTCATTTCATTTTGCATATATGTTCATTTTATCGTTCATTTATCCATTAATATAAAAATTAGAGATCTGTAAATCGTAATCAGTGTGTAGTTGTCCAAAGTTCAAATTTGCTGGTTGATATTTTGAATTGGCCATTGGGCGGATGATATTATTATTATTATTATTATTATTATTATTATTATTATTATTATTATTATTATTATAATTGATATCATTAGAAATCTGTATTTTCTAATGAGTGAAAAAGAAAAACATAGTTGATGAATATAGAGAGATAGAAGAGATTGTATCATAAAGTGATATTTGAAATTTCGGATCACTTTATGTGATCATACAAAACGAATTTGTTTTTACTCATATTTCACTATTTGATGGTGAAAGCTTTGTCAATGTAGTAGTAAATCAGGATTTACAAAAATCTCCGCTTGGTAACTTGATCAAAGAAGTTTGATCAATTCTTTTTATGTCTGAATGTTTGTGATCAACACATTCAATGTAACAATAATACAAAATTAAAATCTTCAAGTAGATGACTTTATTTTAGCAGAAAATAAAAAATGACGGTTTAGTGTATAAATGTGTGTAGATAACTTATGTCTAACTAATATTTGGTAACTACTCTACAAACATAATTCAGTGGTATTTGTTGCTCAACAGTAAACTCATATTCTGTGTAAGTTATGCTTAGTAGTCTGCAATTTTTCGTGTCTATATTAGACGGCAGTAGGGCTTCTTAATCAGTTTTCACCTCATTTTAGATCATAGATCTAGTAAATAATTGATTATTTGTGACGTTTTATGTTATTCCGAGTTAATATTTAATTGTCGGTTGAATAAAGATTGTCACTATGATCTGACTCAAATTTTATGCATTTTGTTCAGTTACTTTACTCTCTGTGTAAACTTGATCTACTATTAATTATTTTAATACATACTTGTAAATTTACTGGACAAAATAACTGACGACTCATTTACTTGAACCCATCTTATGATTTCAAAGCTGAATATTCCATCCAGCTTTCTAGATTGAAGTTAATGTGATGCATTACCTAATAACCCAGAGAAGAAAGTGTTAATTAAACGTTTCAGTGAAAATATTCTTTTTGGTTAGTCAATCATATGCGAAGTAAAATCTGACATATATGTGGATTGGTTCAAGTCTCCATACCGCATTAGTTCTTCAAGATAAAATTATCATGCTAAATCCCAGACTAGCAAAACTAACAGTATCAATAGTTATAAAAAAGATTAGATATAAAAAAAACGAAAAACGTATACGAAGATTTCGGGATACAGGTTCTAAGGGAGGATAAAAAGTTACTACACCTGGGCCATTGAGAATGGTCATTTTTCGTTATTCATAACATGACCAAAGTAATTGACTTCCTTTATATGCAGTTTCCCTTTGTTTTGTTGGCATTTCGTTTTAATCCGTAGTTCAGTTTTAATTTTTTAATTTTAAGCAACTGTATTGATTAGTTTTATGAAATATGTATTTATATGATTATTTTTCAGCCTAAAAGATCGGCTGCCCAAAGAATATATTAAATCCAAGGGAATCGAGAAAAGAATATTGGAAGTAAGTTGAGTGGTAATGATGGATCAAAACGTAGTTTTATCAAGTGTTGATATGAATAGATTCATCGAGGTATTTCAAGCTTTAATAAACTATGTGAAATCATAGAGGTCTCAATATATTTTATTCAACATGCCTTGAAAAACTAGGCTGATGTGTTTCCAGCTCTAATCCATGCTGTGATGCAATGTCAATCTGGTTTTTCAGTTATAAACAACGTAGAATTTGGAACGAATTTGTATTGGGTCGATTTGCCGCACTAATTCAACACAGCATCATAAAATTAACAAAAGAATCTGTATTGTGGTAACATTAACAATGACAAGACTAAATATAGAGAATTTATTGCAAAAATGGAACGAAATAATAGGTAAAATGGATATAAAATAATATTGAAACTCAAGATTTCGGAAGAAAATAAATAATGAATCCAGATGTTTCACCTCAACCGATTCTCAGCTGTCTTCTAAGGTTCCCAACCACTGATCTCGATTATCCTATCGATTGCAACCAGGATGTTTGTTGCTGCAAATGTGATTTCGGCTAATGATCATTCACTTGATCAACTGATGCTACATTATTATGACTTCAAGAATAATTAACAATTTGTTTACTATAGAAAAAATAAATACTACCAATAAGAGCTTCTATAAAACAAATTTTATCTTTCAGTTAATACTGAGTGACCACAATGAGATTTATTTTCTGAATTACATATAATCATCAATGGATTGGACAAGTTGATGGAAGTTAATTAACTCGGGCTTTGATGATTCAGAATCAAAGCTCTTGTGCTATCTAATTTTTGCACACTATTAAACGGTTGAAAACAGGGCATGAAACAGTTATTAGCTGGTCCCAGCCTATCACACAAAGTTACCTGTTTATCTTTTCTATTTATACATTCTACCTTTCTTTAAATAATTCAGCCCACCAGTATTTATTCATTTTTTCTGTGATGTGTATATGTGTATAAGTTGATTAAAAAAACCTAAACAGTTACCGATGTGATTAGTCAGATTGAAATGTTCCAGTCATAATAAGCTAGATAATCGTTTATTTTCCATTGTAAAGTTTCACATTTATCCTGATTGTGGAACTATTAGCTTCTTTTAAAGCAATGCTAATTAATTATTGTATTAATAACGATGAATAGCATTAATCATAGTTGTAGTGCATATCTTTCTTCATAATTCAAGTGTATAATTATTGTTATTTTGTTATGATAGCCTTTTGGTGAATATATATGATGGGATGTAATACTGAAAAAATCCATGCATAGAATTAAACTAATTCATATTTGTGTAGGTTGTTTTTTGTACATTTGTTCTATTTCCCTTCCTCTCACTTGTTCACTATCAAAAGTAATTTAATTAATTAATTTCTTCCAATAACCTATTGATAATTCATTTATTTTGGCTACTTAGACCAAAAGCAATGAATTAAGATTGAAACATGTAACCCAGTAATTGAAATCCTAACTGTTTATTCTTTAAATTATCTTATCATCCATAATAATAATATTATTATTATCGAATAAATTTACTAAATAGGCAATAAACAAAAAAAACAAACAGATATTTTACACACTCACTATGTTTTATATCAACACATTGAATCGTATCCATTTTCAATGCCCACTATTCACTTAGCATGTAAACCAATCTAATCGATGATAATTCGTGTGCTTCAAATACCTGTGAACAGATATTTTATGTGAGATTATTGGTTTGGTTAAAGTATAAGGTATATAGTTATTATAAATGTGAAGATTTCTTATTATCAGTAATTGAGTTGAATTGAAAAATATTTGTTTAGATGCCTGTATAAAGTTCATAATACACAGCTTAACATGGAATTTTGTTTAAAAACAACCCAACAACACTATCTTTAGGAAGATTTTACATAAGAAACTGTCGTATTACACAGATATTCACTTCTAGACAATCATGGTAATTTAGTAACTTTAATAAAATTAATGTAACCAATAAACTAATTTTATGATTGATTGTTTGATCGCTGAGTGATGGTGGATGTCATGTTTTTCAAGTTCTTGACCACTAATTGAACTCTGTCGACAAAGTTACAATACAGCTACTAGTCTAAGAACTCGATATCTCGCGCACTATATCAAGGTGTTAGATAGTTGGAGGTATTCATTTGGAAATTGTGGATTGAGGTTTCGTGTTAGTTGGCACTCGTTAGTCAATTATAATAACAAAAATGTTCACTTTCATGGAAAAGTAAGAAAATTTTTTGGAATGTTCATTTGTGCGAATATGTCAAAGAGAATTTAACTGACTCATCTTGAATTTATTTTTCTGATTCTTAGTCGGTTCGTATAGTGTTTCGTTGTAATAATAAATTATCATAAAGTATTATGGTAGTGTTCGTCATTGATTAGGATCACTTGGGACAACTTAAAGTGAGTTCCTGAAATCCTAATCAGAAATTGTTTCCGATGAAGTGGAGGCATTTCTGTGATGAAATGTTAGTCAACAATGGCATTATCTGATCGTTGGACAATATCACAAATCGATTAGGTTGAAAATGTCTACCATTGGACGCCAATCCATTAATTTAATGATAGATTTGTCACCGCGATCTGTTACAGGGCTTATGGGTGCCTACTGTTGGAGAGTCTCGTACTAAGAAAAAATACTCTGTGTTCCCTAGTTTTTAGTGCCCAATCCAATTAAGACGAGTAACATCTAGAAATCAGGCCAATCGTTGAAAAACCTATTCAATAATACTTTCATAAAACACGGTAATCATAATTCTCTGTTGGTCATTGAATTAGTTTGCATTTTATCTATCTAGGTGGGGGTGACTTATGGTGTTACTCACTCATTTATTTATCTGTCTTAGTTACAAACGATTAACATAATGTTTACTAAACGTGGTCGCTCCTTCTTTTTAATTAATAGTTATCACAGGGGTCTGAAAATCATATGTATTTTATCCATCCATTAATGATGTATATTGTAGTTGAACTGATGCCAAATCCATCATTACGTATCTCAGTTTGGTCAGTCGATTGATCGCATCTTATGGTGTGATTGTATACGAACTGCAATTCGTACCATCCATTTATTCTTCTCTCTGATATTTTAAATGACAAGAGTATATATTTATTAATTCTTAAACGTCTTAAAGTCTAATATTTGCAGTTTCCCTTCGTCACGTAACTGCTATTTAAAAGAAAAATAAAATCCGCACAAATTGCTGTAACTTTGCAGAAAGTTTATTTTTTTTCGGTATCTTAATAAGTTAATACAAGTATCTTCTTTGGAGAAACACCATCGAAATATTGAAAGTTTTTTTATCATAGTTTACTCCATTGTTGTCATCTCTTAATAAAAAGTCAACCGTTGGCTCAATTTCGATCTTTCGCATTTTTTCAAATGTTAAATTTTTCTAAAAAATGAATTTCTACGTTATTCAGCAATATCAAAAGTTGGGCAACTATGATGAAAAAGAAGCCAAATTACGCTATGTCCAATTATGTAGATCTTTACCAACATATGGAATAACATTCTTTCTTATAAAAGTGAGTATATATATTGATGAAAATTTTAATTGTTATTGTTATATTTATTATTCAGAAGTACGATTTTTTAGCTATCTAGATTCAAATTTACGGTAGGGTGTAGTGGCTTAGCTTTGTTAATCGATCCCCTTGATAACCGTCATTATATGAATCCCAACGGTGTTTGAAATCGAAATGCAATAAGAAGCGGTGAATACAGTTTATTAGCGATTAGCACATATAACAAAGCTACACACACATCGAGCGAATTTAGATCAGAGGCGAATATGTGCATATGCGAGCAAATATCGAGCCGAATTTATATTCAAATCGAATCAAGGCGCAGCTAGGCAAGGTAAAAGCAATTAATAGGATTCGAGTACATATATACATGAGGAAGATGATGATTCATAGGGCACTATTTAAGCGATTAACATTTAAGCTAGAGAGATATGTGCGTAGGCTGTCATGTGATCAAGCACACACGTTTATACCAATATAGTGTTTATAATAGTACAAAGAAATAGACGAATTGTTACTGTTCCAATAATATTGTCTGTTAAATAAGCTAATAAGACCTTAGTAAAAATTACCCATAATCGGAATTGGTTGTAGGAGAGTTGCTATAAAAATAAATATATTGAAACCAACATAAGAGTTCTCTTTTTTTTTTAGCAAAGGCTTAAACACATATTCTTACATGTTTCTGGTTATGTTTCCTAAAATACTATTGTCCAAATTTAAACTAATGATGGCTGAATGTTATTTGTCATATAATTAAGTAGAAAATGCCTATTAAGGTGTAAGAGAATATTGTTGTTCTTCAGATAATTATTCCATCTAAATTAATCCATTTTATATTCTGTTGGATAAGATTGAACATTGGTACCATACTAAGATATAATTGTCACATTGCATGTCAACAGGATTTAAACGCTCACTTTTTAATTATGGAATCTCGCTTTTGATCAGTGCTTTATTTATTTCAGTCTGAGCAGTAGGACATGACCTATAACTTTAGAAATATGCCCCAAGTTTTAGTACACACAATCTGTAAAATATAATTAGGATTGTTTTTTGTTCACCTTTTACCGCACAATTTCAGATATTATTTTATACTTGATGTCTAATATTTCATATTTTGTACTAATTATTATGGACAGATTAGAATCGCTCTTTGCATATTTCGTTTTGGATAGCTGAATGACATCTCTAATCCTGATACAAAAAGTATCCATTTTGTTGTTTAAAATGATTGTTATTGAAATCATGGGTCGATGTTAGACCAACACTGAAAGCCTGAAATCACTGAACGTCCATTTCATGTCAGTATAGGCACTCCTTAGTAGTGTGAATCCACGACCCCGTACGCGGGAATCCGACCCACGACCCTTGATCTCTCACATGAACAATTAACTTCTAGACCACTGAGCCGGCATCAAACGGTGTTAATGTCTGACTGTAGTGAGTTCACGATGGCGTTCTAGTATTGATCAATTCATGATTTCAACGAAACTCAACAATTTCCTTAATCCCATAATTACAATGAATATGGTTTTATTTCATAAGTAAATTACATTACATATCATCTTGCACTCGAAAATATCAAAGATAAAAAGCTTTCACATAGAAGGAGAGATGAATTAGAATTAAAACACGAATTTTAGCGAAGGGATCTCTTTTCAACGAATTTATTATCAAGCTGTACCATCGTATATATATGAAAATTTTTGTTTTTGTAAAAGTACTAATTCCGTGAGGAAATGTGAACACAGTTAATAAAAAGGGTTATAATACTAGAATAAGTAATACGAATAATAACAATAGATTTAGTGAATATAATAAGATGATTAAAGTGTTTTTGATATAATAATTAAAGGTCATAGAGGTGTAAAAATTAAAGTGATATGATGAGCGTTCATGAATAAAACAATGAGGATATAAGACATAAGTAAAGGGGGAATGCAGCAATAATAATAATAATAATAATAATAGTAACAATAATGTTAGGATAATCAAAATAATTAAGGCCAAGGTAACGATAACGATAAGACGTACTTCTTTTGTACGCATAGTTCTGGTTTAAGCTCCTGGATGGTAAGAGCTTCGGCTATTTTTAAGAGTTGGATACGAAGAAATCTGGGTAGATTTGAACGAATCATATAAACAACCTTAAAGTCAATTTGTGGATCTGTTGAATGGTTATAGTCGATTAGGTGTTCAAGTATAGAACTCCTAACTGCTTTCCTTTCACCCTTATAGAACCAAGCTGGGATATGTTCTCGTATCCGAGTTGAAAGCGAGCGCTGGCTACAGCCAATGTACCTTGCTCCACAAGAGCAGGTGAACTGGTAGATGCACATGGAGGCGACCAGACGCGGAAGCTTATCTTTTATGGATACAGAAAATAAGTTTCTACTAGTGAAGGATATTCGCAGTTTTGCCGCGTTAAATGTTCTTCTAATAGTTGTTGTTAGACGATTTTTGATTACGTCTGATGTTCGATCACCTTTAAATTCCAGACTTATATAAAGGTTTTTCTTTGGAAAGGAACAACTAGAATTCTTGTCGCGACTACTTCTATTCATATTCTTTTCTATAAACCGTTCTGGGTAACCATTTTCCGTCAAAGTCTTCTTGAGGAATGCGAGTTCTTCGTTAATGCATTCCGTACTGCATATGTGATGTATGCGATAGCATAAAGAATGGATAAGGTTTCTCTTCCTACTTAACGGAACCCAGCTATAGAAGTTGGTTAGCTGGCCATTCCATGTTTGTTTTCTAAAGGTGGATCTTTTTAAAGAACCACTACTCCTTCTCATCAGATGTACATCGAGAAAAGGAATTGATTGGTCCCGTTCCCTTTCTAACGTGAAGTCTATGGAAGGGTGGCACGAGTTAAAGGTGTGTAGAATATCATCTAAATCAATATTATTGTCACAAACAACAAACGTGTCGTCCATGTATCTCACGTATAGGTGGAATCGACTGATCATTGAACGGAGTTGGTCGTTTTCTACTTTTGCCATGAAACAGTCTGCTAAAATTGGACCCAATGGAGACCCCATTGCGATCCCATCCCTTTGTCTATATATTTCATTATTGAAACTGAACTGGACATTAAAAGTACAGCGTAACAATAGTTCTTTCAAGTGTTCAGTTGGCAAACCTAGATCTATATTGTTAGAATCAATATACTCACATATATAACATATTGTTTCGGTTAAAGGTACGCTAGTGAACAAAGTCAGTCAGTCAGCTACAACGTAGGACCAGGCACATGTATGCATCGGCCCAGGTTGCCATACCTCATTAGCACAGCAAGATGAACACTGGATTCATAGGAGTGGTTAGGTCAAAGGTGGTAATATATAGGAGAAAGATTGCAATAAGGATATAGTATAGGAAGAAAGAATTAGTTCGTAGAAAGAAAGATGTGAAGTGATCTTAATCTCTTAGTTTAAGAGAAGACAGAGAGTGTATACACCGACGCCATTGTGATCGATTCTGAGCCATGTCACCAAGGGTCTCCAACCATTGGTTACGAAAGTCACGCGGACCCCAACCAAGTAGTCTGCATCTACCAACATGGCTCAGACTAGAAGTTAGTGACTTCAGGCACTGATGCCACGTTTTGGTTTGGCCGCCCCTAACTTTCTTCCAACCATCCCCTACACCGGTTAGCATTGCACGTCGCGGTAATCGGTGTTCAGGCATACGTAATACGTGGCCCAACCATCTCAGTCGATGAAGATTCATAACCTCATCAACTGATTTACCATCATTCCCTAATACCCTGCGTCTAACCTCACTATTACTTACCCGGTGATCCCAGCAGATGCCAGCAATATTTCTAAGGCATCTGTGGTCAAATACTAGTAGCTTACGGGTGTCTTCTACTCTTAAGGGCCATGTTTCGCTGCCGTAAATTAAAACAGAACGGACAGCCGCGCAGTATACTCGTCCTTTTATTGATAGACGGATATCTCGCCTCCGCCAAAGGTGACGTAAGTTGGCAAAAGCCAAACGAGCTTTACGAATCCGTGCTGAGATTTCGTCAGACACCAACCCATTAGGGCTGATCAGACTTCCAAGATAAGTGAAGTTGTCAACACGTTCGACTACTTCACTCCCTATCCTTAGTTCAGGTGTTGACGCAGACCAGTCCTGAAGCAACAACTTGCATTTAGAGGGAGAGAAGCGCATCCCAAACATTCTGGCATTGTTGCTTAGTGCTACCAGAAGACTCTGCATTTTGTCAGCGTCTTCACCAAACAGGACTATGTCATCTGCATATTCTAAGTCGATAAGTGGACCTCCTGGAAGGAGATCAATACCCGAGAATTCAGTCGACGAGAGTGTTATTTCCATCAATAGGTCTATGATGAAGTTAAACAAAAATGGAGAAAGTGGGCAGCCTTGACGGACACCACTTGAGGTTGTAAAGGTAGATGACAGTTCGCCATAAGCCCTGACTCGACTAGTAGTGTTCGAGTAAAGAGCCTTCACAAGGTTTATGTACTTCTGAGGTACGCCTTTCAATGACAGACACTGCCACAGAGTCTCGCGGTCTACAGAGTCAAATGCTGCTTTTAAGTCAAGAAAGACCACCATCGTCGGACGCCGATAGGTATGCCTGTGTTCTAGAACCTGACGAATGGTGAATATGTGGTCGATGCAGCCACGACCAGGTCTAAAGCCAGCTTGGTTCTCTCGTGTTTGTAGTTCACGAGTCTTAGTTAGGCGTTTGATAATTATCGAGGCCAGTATTTTAGATACTATGTTTGTTAAACTAATCCCTCTGTGGTTGTCACAGGATGATTTTGACCCTTTCTTATATATTGGGACGATAAGTGATTGCGACCAGTCAGATGGGATAACGTCTAACTCCCAGATCTTAGCTAAAATATTAGTCAACCTAATCGCTAAAATTGGACCACCATCCTTAAAGACTTCTGGAGCCAGTCCATCTGGACCAGCTGCCCTTCCTCGTTTCAGATTAACTATAGCCTTCTCAACTT